AACTTCATGGAAAAATTTGAAACCAGGTGGTGAAAATCCTCTTTGTTTTTCTTTTTTGGCCTATTCTAGTTCTTTGTAATTCTTCATAAATTTTAGGTTAATTTGCACATACCTATAAAAGAGACTTTTGGGATTTTGACAGGGGTTGTGTTGAGTGTATAAATCAATGTAGAGAATGCTGATATGAAAGGAAAAAAGGGAAAAGTAAAACCAAAGGAGAAAAGAAGGAAAACATGGAAACAAAGCTTTGTAAGTGGGGAGGGGAGGAAGGGGTTGAAGGGGGGGGGTAAAGGAATGGGGAAAAAAGTTATATTATGTACAGGTACAAATTCTTTATGATGAATGTGATCATTATATATAGCTAAAATGTACCAGTAAAATGTAATTTAAAAAAAAGAGAGAATGCTGGTATGTTAACAGTTCACCCTTTAATTCATAAACATGCAATATGTTCACCTTCATTAAGGCCTTCTTTCATTTATTTTTCATCTATTTTCATTTATTTCAGTGATTTTGTTTTCTAATTCCTGTCAATACATTTTACACAACTTCTTAAGTATTTATTCTAGAATAGTTTATTATTTTTATGCCATTGTAAATGATGTTTAAAAGTTTTCCTTTTCTTTTGCTTAATCATGAGAAAGTAGGTTTTTTTGTATATGTTCCTATGTCTTGCAACCTTATTACATTTATTTAGTGATAGTAATTTTTATCAGTTTATTAAGATATTCTGTGTATGTAATTATGCTGTTTGCAAATTAAGGCAGTTTGACTTGTTTTGTTTTTGAGCCAGGGTCTTGCCATGTAGTCCAGGCTGGCCACAAACTCACATGTGCCACTGTGCCTGGCTATGATGTACTATACTTTTATATATTCCTGGATATTACATGTTAATATTTTGGAAAATATTTTTACATATCTGCTCATGAAAGATATTTTCCTGTAGTATTCTTTTCTTGTAATATACCTTTTTTTTTGGTAACAGGGTTATGATTTATAAAATCAGGTGTGAATACATAAAATGAGAAGTATTTCTGATTTTTCTATTTTCTGAAAGAGTTTCATGGTATTTATCTTCTTAAATATTTGACAGAATTCCACAATAAAGTCTCTTGGATTTTATGTTTTCATTGTAAGAAGTCTTTCTGTTATGAATTCAGCTTCTGCTGGGCATGGTGGCGCACGCCTGTAATCCCAGCATTCGGGAGGCTGAGGCAGGAGGATCGTTGCAAATTCGAGACTAGCCTGGGCTACAAAGTGAGTTTAAAGCTAGCCTGAACTACATAGTGAGACCTTGTTTTAAAAAGACCAAAAAGAAAAAAAAAAAAGAATTCAGCTTCTTTAAAGATGTAAGGCTATTCAGATATCTGTTTTATTCTATGTCTTTCAAACAGATTATATCATAGTTTGTCATATTCCCTTATCTTTTAACATCTGTAGAATCTGTGGTATGGATTAAAAATCTGTATTGGTGTTTCTTTTTTCATTCTGATATTAGTAATTTTCTCTCTTCCTCTGTCTTATTTTTTAGCCAACCTAGTTTATTGATTTTTATTAAACTTTTCAAAAGGCTGATTTTTGATTACATTGATGTTTTCTATTGTTTATTCTATCTCATTGTATCCCGCTATTTATATTTCTTTTTTTCTACCTACTACAATTTAATTTGTTCTTCCTTTCCTAGCTACTTAAATTAAAAGCTTAGAGGACTAATTTTTTTCGGTACTGGGACTTGAACTCAGGAGCTTACACTTGCTAGACAGATGCTGTGCTGCTGAGCTATATCCCCAACCCTTTTTTTCCATATTCTGAGGCATGGTCTTGCTGTGTAGGTCAGGCTGGCCTTGAACTCATTATGTAGCACAGGCTGGTCTTGAACTCTCAGAGAGCAGTCCTCCTGCCCCAGCTTTTCAGGTGCTGGGATTACACACATATGCCACCATGCCTTGCTAGACCACTAATTTTAAAATGATTTTTTCTTTTCTAATGTAGGTATTTAGACCTATACATTTTTTGTTTTGTTATCTCTCAACAAGTTTTGTTATTTTTTCATTGTCTACTGATTTCTTTTTCTTTTTTTTTTTTTTTTTTCCGGTACCGGGAATCAAACTCACGACCTCACGCTTGCCAGGCAGGCGCTGTGCCGCTGAGCTAAAGCCCCAGCCCCGGTCTACTGATTTGATATTTAAAAATTCCTCGTGTGAGTCTTATTCATTTTAAAATATTCAGTTTCTTCTTTTATCTGACAACTCTAGCCTATTCTCTTTTTTCTACTGCATTCATTACGTATTTCTTTGTAGTTTTATGTACTTAGTTTATGATTTTCCTTGTACACGCCATTTGTTTTAGGTACATTTTTTTTCCAGCTCTGGAGATTGAACCTAGGGGCATTCTACCTCTGAGCTACATTCCCAGACCTTTTTATTGTTTATGTCGGGACACGGACTTGCTAAATTGCTTAGACAGGACTCAAATTTGTAGTCCTCCTGCCTCAGCCTCCAGTGTGGTGGGATTATAGGCATGTACCACCATACCTGGCTTATTGTTCCTGTTTTATATACATGATCCCCTAGAAGAATGGTAGCCCCCCAAAACAAAACTCTTTCTCCTACTTGTAAAATTTTTAGTATGTAGTTACTATGAAGTTAACAGACATCTTGGTCACCATTAAAGTGAGAGATACTGTGGATGAATCTAAATCCTCTATAAGGAGTCAATTGATTTTTAAAAAGATAACTACTAATGACACGAAATAGTAAAAGCATATGTAAAGGTCCTTGGGTAGGAATGCATATTGTCCTTTTGCAGGTAAGGGAGGAAAACAGTGCAGGAAAGTGAGGAGAAAAATCAAGGGTATGGTGCAGAGGGTTCTGGTGATCAAGCTGAGTATACTGGAGTCATGAGTTTGGCACACTCTTCTGAGAGAGCTCTGTCATGCTCTCCTAGTGCACATTCACCTCAGTGCACCTTGGACTGCGTTCACACTCTTCTGCGTGGTCCTTGTAGTCCAATTTCTGCTAGTCAGTTTACCACTCAGGTGCTCTCAGCAGCACAGGGAGACGTTGCCAAGCCAAATTCCCCACCACTTTGAACTTGGCCTTGGGCACCGTCTTCTGAGGGTTTTTTGCCTGCTTCAGAGTATGTAACGTGGTTGCATTGGAGCGTGTAGACACTCCTCTGAAGCAGCAATTTTGTTTTTAAGGCTGGCAGCTGGCAGTTCTGGTATTTTGGGTTGTTTCCAGGAAGGTTTCTGTCTCTTTACCCTTTCTAGTCAAGCTTTACCCTTTCTGTCTCTCTCAGAGTATCTGACACCTTCATGAAGAAAAGGGAAACCACCTTCTAAATAAACATTATAAGACAGAACAACTCAAGAATCTTTCTTTGGGAGGATCAAAGACTTCTGTTTACAAACCAGTTTTCACATTGACACTTTGTACTCATTCATTCAAGAGTCTTTGTTTTCACTATTCTTTTCTGATATAAGTGGCCAGGAATAGCATAGGCATTTTTACTTTACAGATGTTTTACCATAGGCCTTTTTTTTTGTTTGTTTGTTTTTCTCCAGTACCGGGAATCGAACTCACAACCTTGCTCTTGCCAGGCAGGCGCTGTGCTACTGAGCTAAATCCCCAGCCCTACTATAGGCCTTTGATGTACATAATATTAAGACAGATTTTCTAGAAGAGAGGTGTAGGGGTAGCCCAAGACTTGAATGTAATCCTAGGTACTTGCAGTAGAATTGGGACAGAAAGGCTACTTCCTTTGGTGATAGCAAGCATCAAATTCAGATGCTGGGTACTCTGAGACCAGCTGACAGACAGACAGCTGGGTACTTTCAGATGCTGGGTCTGTGTGGAGGGGGTAAGGCTTTGTGGGGGCTGTTTTTTTGGGCTTCCCACAACCTAAATCCATGCTGAAGCAATAATCATAAAGCTTAGAAGTCAACATATTTCTAACTTTGATTTATTCATGTGACTACCTGTAATATTTGTACATAATCCATTCTAAAAATGCCATGTGAGGTTTGGCTACCTAAGTTTTCAGGGGCTGTGTTAAACCACTTTCAGGACTTGGTCCTGCCTATGGGACCACTGCTCAGCCAGGCCATCATGAGTTGCAGCAAGTGGATGAGAGAGTATTTTGCTTCTGCAGTGTCCTGGGTGGGTAGAGAGGTAGCTTTAGAAATCCCTCACCCCACTCCGAGCTGCACTGGCTCTGCAGATTGGGGCTGGGAAGGAAGGGGCCTTTTTGTCTGCTCTGCCTTGGCTGTGCTAGAGTGGGAGTGTCCACAGACCCATCCTTGGATGGCACATCCTTGAATAAAATATGCCTAAACTGTTAATTTTGAAAACACTTGAGTCTTTTCCCCTAAGTGGGGGCCAGCAACCACGTGGCATGTGCTGGCTGCTCATTCCCCTTTATGCTTCCCAGTGGGTAGTCGGCCCCTTTCTCTCTGCAGCAGGTGCCTGGCAGAGACACCCTGGGTCCTCAATGGAGCTAACTGGCCATGGGAAGAGATGTCAGAGTCACGCCTGGTGGCAAGTTTGAGGAAAAACTGAAAAAAATACCCTTACAATAGGCCCTAATTAAAATGGACCTGAGCATGACTCAGTTTTCCCCCAGCAGTCTGAAGGTGCACTCAGCAGAGGGCTGCAGCGGGTGTACGGCTCCTCCTCCCTCTGCTGGCCTGACTTGGGGTATAAGTGGAAGGGAGGGAGAGGCTTACGCCAGGCCTCCTGCCTCATCCGTGTATCTCATTCCTCTGCCACTTCCTGTTTTGTGGCCCTTTGGTTTCTTCATTTAAAAGAAAAAACTCTTCTACAGCTGTATGCATTTTTACTTCTTCTATTTGTTCTTTTTGGTTGCTTCTCTTAGGTGTAGAGCGATTCAGGCAAGTCCCACTGCTAGCTTCCCATCCCCTCTGTCCCTCCCATTCTTCAGGCCTCAGGATTGCTGTCTGTGCTGTTCCTGCTCTGACACCATGTTGTCTTTTCCACCAGAGCACTGATTTCCTCAGCACCATTGGCTATGATACCATCATCCTTCATTTGAACAATGGCCGCAAGAACTGCAAAGAGTTTGAGGACTTTTTAAAAGAAAGGTATGTTGCTTTGTCCTCTCCAAAGGTGGTAGGCCAGGATGCCTTTACCCAAGCAAGGAACAGTAATTTTTTTTTTTTTTACAGTACTGGAGATTCAGCCCAGGGCCTTCACATTGAGCTACATCCTCAGCCCTTATTGTTTTTTATTTTGAGATAGGATTTTGCTAATTTGCTAAATTGACTAGCCTGGGCTTGGACTTGTGACCCTCTTGCTCAGCCTCACAAAGTGCTGAGATTACAAGCATGCCACACTACCCCTGGCTCAGTGTAATGTTATTGATTGTGCTTAGCATTTCTGAAGGTTACCCAGTGATACGCAAGAAGTAAACGATATCTCTTCTGAAGTTCTCAGGAACCAGCCTGAGAGATAAGACTTATGAATGAAACAGCAAACAAAATGTAGTAAATACACAAAATACATTAAGCAGTGTGGTATGAATAACACTGAAGGACCTCTCCTGAGAAGGAGAATGTTGAATTTGAAGAAAAAAAAGGACGAGTGTAACTTCATGGAGGAGGAGATCCTTGAAGTAGCCCTGGCAGGAGGAGGCGCCTCTGATAGGTGCAGAAGCGGCTGATACCTGTGGGATAATGACAGGCTTGGAGGTGGGAGTGAGTGTGGCCTAGGTGGTAAGGACTACAGCCCCATTCAGAGATGAAGAAGGCGAGGGAGGTGTGGGAGGAGGTGAGGGCAGGACCATGCTGTCTTGCAGGCGCTAGGGGAGAATGTGTCTCATGTCTTTCTCTTGGCTTCTGGTATCACTGACAGCCCTTGGGGTGTGCTGACTTATAGGTCCCTAATTCCCAGGTCTCCCTCCTCCATCACATGGCCTTCTCCCTCTGTGTTGTTGCTCCTTTTATTTATTTATTTATTTATTTATTTTTGACTGCACAGTTCAATTCTTTTAGTAAAATCAGAATGTGCACAGCATGTGCAGTGCTAATACAGTAAGCAGTTACTAAAGTGACAGTGACTTGAGGTTTAATCTCTACATCAGCAAGTTCAACTTGATTCTTACATGTGTTTTGAAACTTTAACTGAAACTATTGCTTGCTGATTAAACTTGCTCAAATGCTAGTGGTGAAGATACCAGCCACTGATTGTGCCAATACAACCAAGATAACCACATATTTGAGGATTGAAATTCACTGGAAAAAAAATACAACTAAACAAAACCCACACAACAAACATCTGAGAATCTGGACACACATCTGAGAATCTGGGCTCTTCAGTGTTTTGAAATGTTCCTTTAATATCTTAAGACAAGTGTATCAAAACTTTGGTATGATTTTTAATTTGAAGTCAGCAATTTTGTTTTTACTAACATCAAAAAGTTATGGCCACCATGTCAATGCTGGGTCTGCTTAATTTGACTTAAGAGTTTAATATGTGTTAATGTTAAAAGCTCACACCACCCCAAAATAATTTCATGCATATGGTAACATATGGTCTTCATGTGCCAGTGTTTTTGTATTGTCTTTTGGTTAAGTTTCTTCACTGGTTGTTTAAGAGAAGCAAATTAAAACAACACTGAGATTCCCTCTCACTCCGGAAAGAATGACTGTCATCAAGAAGTCAACCAATAACAAATGCTGGAGGGACTGTGGGGAAAAAGGAATCCTCCTCCACTGATGGTGGGAGTGTAGACTGTTGCAACCACTGTGGAAATCAGTATGAAGATTCTTGAAAAAACTAGGATTAGAGGTGCCATTCAACCTAGGTATTCACCTTCTGGGTATCTTCCAAGAAGAATTAAGAGCATTATATCACAATGATATATGTGCATCCATGTTTATAGTAATACAATTTGTAATAGCTAAATCTGGGAACAACCCAAATACCCATCAACTGAGGAATGGATAAAAAAGGTGTGGTCTTTTTATATAATGGACTACTATTCAGCCATTAAGAAGGAGAAATTTGAGACTTTTGTAGGTAAATGGATGTCATACTCATAAGTGAAATAAATCAAACTCACATGTGTAAACATAGTGTTATCTCCCTGGTATGAGAAACTGAAAGAGTAACTAAGGTCCAAAATGTACAATAGATATTGTGAAATGGGAAGAAATTGTTCAAAAAGAAAAAGGAACTAGGCTGGGGAAAAGGAAGGAAGAGAAAAAGAAAAAAAAAGAAAACAAGATAGTTATACTACTAGTTTTCTTTAGTTCATTGAAAAGAAAGTTTGTGCTAATATTGTTTGGAGAATTTTTTTATGCTCATATCTTATACTGTGAATAACTACTTCAAAGACAACAGTACTCAATGTATTAACTATTGTTATTCTCCTATTATTTTGTTATGAAATTTTGTTTTCCTTTTTTCCATAAAATACAAAAAATAAACTTTCAAATAATAGGACCAGGGATGCAGCTCAGTGCTGCAGCACCTGCCTGCCAATCGCAAGGACCTGAGTTTGATTCCTGGTACCAACGCCCCCCCCCCAAACCACCAAAACAAAACAAAAACAAAAAAGTTTCAAAGAATAACTTTTAAGCTTACAAAGATAAATATTTGTCAAGATGGTCAATAAATATTGCATAAAACTAGCAGCAAAAAGTATCTAGAAATCTATCGTGTGTCATTCCCATAGTCGCAGATAAATTTTAGAATCTAGCCCTGTCCTCTTTCTAGACAAGCTGCGTTCAATAACCTACAAGAGACAAAATAGGATTGCAATAAAAGAAGTACTTTGTAAAAAGTTATGGGAAAAATTTACAGGGTCCTAAATCTGTACTAATTGAAATAGCACCATAACAAATGACCTCTATACTGTCAAGTGCACCTGCTTAATAAAATGTTTAGATCAAGGCACAATACTTGCAAATCTACTGCACTTTAGGAAATTTTTACCATCTTCCTGTGCCACTGTAAAAAGATAGTGTTTTGATCACTGCATTCTGGCCACAAAGTTAGCTCAGAATTCAAAGTGGAAGAGGCATTTACTGGTGGACAGTGCTCATCTTTGGCCAAATTTAGCGTGAACAGACCGTAAGTGCAGTGGAAACCTGTGCAACTAAAACTGACTAAACTGCACTGTAGAGCAGAGCTGATGACACCGTATACAGACATGTACATATTTCCAGCCTGTGTGATCTCAAAGAGTTCAGTTTGTTGCTCTTCTGGAGACTTTTACAAAGTCTGTGGTGAGCCAGTTTAACCTCTCAGTGCAGCTTGAACAGAATAATGTGAACTGGCATCTAAAATATAGCCTGCTGTATAATTCTTCCTGTTCATACCCTCTTGACCAAAAATCATCAATACCAGCATGAGTTCTTAGACAAAAAATCATCCAGAGCCCTAATGAGTGCTGGTCACTTATTTGATCAGCCATTCTACTATTTCAGTTTCATTTATGGCAGGCATATAAAAAGTCTAAGTAGGTGAATTCTCCTAAAAATTTACTGCAAGTTATCAGACCTTTAAATTTTTCCTGTAGTAACCTGTGCACATTTGACTAGCTCTTTTTTTTTTGAATAGCTCATAATTAATGATCTGCCTAAACATTTAAAGAGGAATTTCTGTCTTTACTTGAATTAACTTTAAAAACAGTGCTTTAAATGTATCCATGTATTCATACATCACCTCATCATGACTGGAATGGCTTGTTTAAAGACTATCATGTTCTGAATACCTATCCAGGGTAGATAGGCTAATCCATAACTTTTTTTTTTGTCTTTCTGAGACAGGATCTCGTTGTGCAGTTCAGGCTGCCCTTGAGCTCACTTTGTAGCCCAGGCTGATCTTGAACTCACAATAATCCTCCTGCCTCAGCCTCCCGAGTGCTGGGATTACAGGTGTGCACCACCACGCCCGGCTTAATCATAACTTTAAGTTACTACATTTTGCCTCATTAGACACTAATTCCATTAATATTCTTCAAGACGTTTGGTGTTTGTTTTCTTCCAATCTGTGAGTGTCAAAAAGCCGCAATGCAAGCTATAGTGTATGTTTATCCCTTATTGTATTTATAGATGAATCGATGATTCCTGTTAAGTTGTATCACACCCATGTGCCAAAGTTTGATGTTAGCCAAGTTCAATAAATTTATTTTGTCAGAACAGTTGATATCTTGAGCATTTCAAAGCAATAGGCCTTCAAAATAAAAAGTTGTCTAGGACTCACTGCATGGGAGGGGCAGCTCGAACCTGCAGAGGCCTGGTGACTACTGGCGATCTCAGAGACCTCTATGCAGAAACGCACCAGAAGAATGGAGCAATGGACGCAGTGGGCGGCAGTGGCTGGAATTTGAGAATAGGTTTTAAGATTTCTGAAAAAAGAGCCTTCTAGGAAGGTGGTGGAGTGGCAAACAGCCGAGAAATAGCCTCGATGAGACTTAGTGTACAGACGCTGGAATATAGGAGAAGAAAGAGGAAGGTGGGTCTCTGGGATCCATGAAGGATCTGAAGTGGGAATTGAAGCTCACAGGGAGAGTGAAGAGAGACCTCAGCGCAGGAGCTAGCAAATGGTGCTTTCTCCCTGAGCCTAGGTTGCTGGGATTAATCTGGCCTCTGTTTGCCTACTCTACCAGTGACAGCAGAGATGCTCCGAAGTGGACATTTTTTTTTTCTTCTCCTTTTCTTTCTTGATAGTTCTTGTCTTTGTATGAGTATGAACATTGTTTCTAGTTTTTTGTCTGTTTCTCTGTTATGTTCTTGTTTTTATTTCTTCTCGCTCTCTCTGTTTCTTCACCAGTTTCCCAAAGTTTGTGTGATTTTCCTTTGTCCTCCAGCTTTGCTTCTAATCTCTTCCTTTTCTGTTTTTCTGTATTTCCCCCAGCCCCTTTTTAACTTTCTCCCCTGAGAGTAAATTAATGATATTGAAGGCTTATTTACTGCATACAATTTTCTGGTTAGTTCTAGATTTTACTATGTAACCACAAATCTAGTTCATATGGTTAATGGTGGCAAATTAATAGTTACAACAGTTTGTCATTTTCTAGGCTGTGTTTGAGTCCATTGTTGTTGCTGATTGCACCACTTTAGCCAAAGTGACATAATTGTTCTAACCAGTTCTTCCTGGTATACCAAGACAGATTGCCCAAGGGTCATAAAAAATACCATAGGCCAGTGCCAAAGAACCAGCGGCTGGGCCAAGTAGATAGTAACTCCTCATCACCAGTAAATTGAAGAGGTAGGATCTTGCAGCAGACTCAAAACCCAAAAGCTAGCAGGACCTGGAATTCCAGCATTTGGGAGGCTGAGGTAGGAAGATCACTGCATGTTT